TCACAACCACATCAAAATTACAACTAAGCTACGGAACAACCATCATTCAGAACTGCCTGAAATCTAGCTGAACAGAAGTCCTATAACTAAGGATATAAAGAAGCCACATGGAGACTAATAGGTGGGGCAGAGATGGGAACGGGCTGTTCCATACCCTGTGTGGCAATCTGGAGGGATATCTCAGCTGAGGAGGTTCCCTGGAAGGAGTGAGGGGAAGAGTGCCAAGAAGAGAAGCCCCCATAACTTCTGGCTGTGAAAACAAGTGGGGATTGTGACTGAGTGAGACAGAGGCTACTGGAGTCCCAAGTGTTCCTCTTAAAGGGCCTGCACACGGATTTACTTGGACTCGCTCTGNAAAGAAGCCACATGGAGACTAATAGGTGGGGCAGAGATGGGAACGGGCTGGTTCCATACCCATATGTGGCAATCTGGAGGGATATCTCAGCTGAGGAGGTTCCCTGGAAGGAGTGAGGGGTTCCAGTGCCAAGAAGAGAAACCCCCATAACTTCTGGCTGTGAAAACAAGTGGGGATTGTGACTGAGCAAGACAAAGGCTACTAGAGTCCCAAGTGTTCCTCTTAAAGGGCCTGCACACGGATTTACTTAGACTCACTCAGTTCCAGTGCTGGGACAGCAGCTCCAAAGCCACCAGGGACATAAGGGGAGGAACTGAATTGTCTGGCTTCAGGATGAGGGCTGGAGGGTGAGCTTTCTCCTAGACAGAAGGGCTGGCAGAGGCCATTTTTCTTCTGCTGAGCCCTCCTCTCACAGAGCCAGCAGGTGGGTACCATGGCTAAGTCTCCATCAACCTAGCTAACACTATTCACCCCACCCTAGTGATTCCCTGAGACCTTGCTCCACCAACTTTGGATCCACCCAAGCCATTTCCAGCGGCTTTTCCATATATAGGGCCTGTCTTTGCTCATGCTTCAGACTTTCCTAAAATCCCTCAAGCAAGCAAGCATCTGGCACCTGCATGCTATGTACCTTCACTAAGTGGCCCCAGGCCCAGCACTAGCAGCAGCTGGCCTTGGTTTGCAACTTGACCTTGCCTGGGAACCTCCAAGTCCAGCACAAGCAGCAGCCATCTGCAGATCATTTTGTAGCTCATGCTGGGTGGCTCGAGGTAGGAATCAGGTGGCAGCTGACCTCGGCCTCACCTCCCAAGACGCCCCAGAGGCAGTGCACCCAGTGGACAGCTTCAGACCATACTAAAGCACTCCCCAACCACTTCACCAAAGACACACTCAAGGGGCGGACACAATGAGCACCAAAGCCCTACTGAAGTGAGTCCTTCTCCATGAGGTTAGTCTTGGCACAGCTGATCCTCCATTGTAGTCATAGCCAATCCTTGAAACCAATCACTTTGGGCAGGGGTAGTTAATCCCTCCCACTGAGGTGTCAACAGCAATCAAGGCTCAACTATAATAGGACACTGCAGGGTTGCTCACATGGGGACTGGGGAGGCTGCACCACTGGCCCTACAGGAACACCTACTACATAAGGCCACTCTAGCAAGTTTGGGAGATGTAGCAGGTTTACCTAATACGTAGAAACAAACACAGGGAAGGAGCCAAAACAAGGAGACAAAGAAACAGGTTCCAGCGGTTATAAGGATGCTCAAGAAACTTAGTGAGAACTGCAACAGCATAAGAAAGGATGTGGAAACCATAAAAAAGAACCACTCTGAAATAAAGAATACACCAATTGAAATGAAGAATAAATTATAGGGAATCAAAAGTAGACTAGATGAAGCAGAGGGTCACATCAGAGGTTTTACATGTAAGGAAGCAGAAAACACCCAGTCAGAACAGCAAAAAGAAACAAGAATCCAAAAAAATGAGGATAGTGCAAGGAGCCTCTGGGACAACTTCAGGTCTGCCAATATTCACATCATGGGGACAGAAGAAGAAGAGAGAGAGCAAGAAATTGAAAACCTATTTGAAAAAATATGATGGAAACTTCCATAACTTGGTGAAGGAACTAGGCATGCAAGTCCAGGAGCACTTAAGAGTCTCAAACAAGGCCCACACCCAGACATGTCATAATTAAAATGCCAAAAGTTAAAGACAAAGAGAGAATCTTAAAAGGGGCAAAAGAAAAGCAGTTCGTTACCTACAAGGGAGTTCCCATACGACTGTCAGCTGATTTCTCAACAGAAACTTTGCAGGCCAGAAGAGATTCGCACAAAACCTTCAAAGTGATGAAAAGTGAGGACCTGCAACCANAAAAGCGAGGACCTGCAGAGAGAGATTACTCTGCCCAGCAAAGCTATCATTTACTGTTGAAGGTCAGATAAAGAGCTTCCCCGACAAGAGAAAGCTGAGGGAGTTCATCGCCACCACACCAGCATTACAAGAAATGTTAAAGGGTCTTCTTTAAGAAGAAGAAAGCCCTGGCCAGGTGGCTTATTTGTTTGGAGCATCGTCACGTACACCAAAAGGTTGCAGGCTCCCCTTCCAGTCAGGGCACGTACCTAGGTTGAGGGTTTGATCCCCCATCATGGTGCGTGCAAGAGGCAATCGACTGATGTTTCTCTCTCAGTCTCTCTCTCCCCTCCTCTCTGAAAATCACCTAAAATATATATATATCTTTGAGTGGGGATTAAAAAGAAGAGAGGAAGATGAGAAAGTATCAAAAATATGAATAATAAGATGGCAGTAAATATCTCTCTACCAGCAATTATTTACATGCAAATGGATTAAATGCTCCAATCAAAAGACATATAGTGACTGAATGGATAACAAAACAAGGCCCTTACAGCCTGGCCAGCGTGGCTGGGCGGATGAGCATCGACCTAGGATCCAGGAGATCACGGTTCGATTCCCGGTCAGGGCGCATGCCCGTGTTTCAGGCTCGATCCCCAGTAGGGGGCGTGCAGGAGGCAGCCGATGGATGATTCTCATCATTGATGTGCCTATATCTCTCCCTCTCCCTTCCTCTCTCTGAAATCAATAAAGATATATTTTTTAAAAAAGTTAAAAAAAAACAAAAACAAGACCTTTACATATGCTGTCTTTAAGAGACTCACTTCAGATCAAAAGACAAACACAAACTGAAAGGGATGGAAAAGATATTTCATGAAAATGAAAACAAAACAAAACAAAACAAAAGCTGGAGGAGCAATACTTGTGTCAGACAAAATAGACTTAAAACAAAGGCTAGCCCGGCCAGGCGTGGCTCAGCAGTTGAGCATCAACCTAGGATCCAGGCAATCTGGGTTTGATTCCTNGCAATCGGGGTTTGATTCCTGGTCAGGGCACATGCCCAGGTTGCGGGCTCAATCAGTGACTCTCTCATCATTGATGTTTCTATCTCTCTCTCTCCCTCTCCTTTCCTCTCGGAAATCAATAAAGATATATTTAAAAAACAACAACAACAACAAAACAAACAAAAAACCAAAGGCNTTCCTCTCTGAAATCAATAAAGATATATTTAAAAAACAACAACAACAAAACAAACAAACAAAAAACCAAAGGTTATAACAAGAAACAAAGAACGACTCAGCAACTCCATTTCTGAGTATTTATCCAAAGAAACCCAAAACACTAAATAAATAAAAAACATATACATCCATATGCTCATTGCAGCGTTATTTACAATGGCCAAGGTATGAAAGCAACGTTAAGTGCCCACCCATAGGTGAACAATGAAATAGGACTCAGCCATAAAAAAAGAATGAAATGTTGCATCTGCAACAACATAGTTGGGCCTAGAAGGTATTATGTTAAGTGAAATAAGTCAGACAGAGAAAGACAAATGCCAGATGATTTCACTTATATGTGGAATCTAAAAAACAAGCAAGCAAACAAAACAGAAACAGACCCATAGATACAGAGAACATTTTGACAGTTGCCAGATGGGAGAGGGGTTGGCGGGCTGGGTGAACAAGGTGAAGGGATTTAGAAGTACAAACTGGTAGTTACAGAGCAGTCATAAGGATGTAAAGTACAGCCTGGGCAATATAATCAATAATAGCGTAATAGCTATGTATGGTGTCAGGTGGGTACTAGATTTATCGGGATGATCGCTCCGTAAGTTATATAAATGTCTGATCATGAGGCTGTACCTCTGAAACTAATATAATATTGTACATCAACTGTAATTTAAAAACAAAAAAATAAAAACCATCACAACCAATGATTTAATTAAGGACTTAGAGCAGCTTTTCATTTGAAAGCGGACTGAGCAGACACGGTAGGGGAGAGGGAAGAAGTGATGATAGAATTTCAGTTCTTGTATTCTGAAAGTGGGGGGCAGACGCATTTGCGCTTGGATTTCCTTGTCTATCTCAAATTACGGTTTCTTACTACCTGAGCATTAGCCCTGTGCTCATTCATGAGCTTTTGTGTTTAAAGAATTCCATTATCTAAGACCACTTACATTCAACAAAAGCTGCGTGTAAGCTTTTATCTTTGACCACTGGATGGGCAAGTAAGACCCCCCTCTGTTACATTCATTATTGAATCCCCTTTGCCTACACAGGGACGGGTACATGAATGTTGCTCAATAAACATGAATGAATGAATGAATGAATGAATGAATGAATGAATGAATAGTCAGAACTAGAATATTCTAGTTTCAACATGTCATTAAAACATCTGTCATTCAATTGTGTTATTAGGCCAGGTTTGTACAATGTTCAATTCAGGTTGTCCTCATGGATTTGATTATTTGAAATACTCACAAAAACTTTTGGACTGTTATTGTATTTGGAAGAATGCAGCTAATGTATCTACACAATCGTGAAAAAGAAATTCTGACTACAGCCAGCCCGCC